ATTTCTAAATACAACTTTGCAATACACTTAATTTCCACAGTCATGCTATAACAAACGCTACAATTCACAACAAACGACTCACGTGCTCGACTCAATCGTCAATCTCTGTCTGCAGTTCAATTACATTATTGCCGTCGCTTCTTGGCAGCTAATATATATACAAGAATACTGCATATCTAGTAACCTCTGAAGGCTACACGAACCTTCGAGAATATGACATGTTACCAGCGTCACGTGACCCCCACTGTCGTAACTATACATAAGATGTAACTGAATGTTTTATTTTGTTCCTTATTAATTGTTATGCAATATTACAAATAAATTAAATTTTTTGTTGGAAAGGCAAAAGTAACCTACATTTATTTCATTTCGTTTCTTGTTTTATTTAAATAGTAGCGAAAGTATCCAGCATTACTCAGGATATTAGGTTGATATATGCTAGATGACTATGTCAGTGTGTGTATTCTGAACCTATTGTAGCATAAAAGAACAGTCAAAAATATTTTAAACATTTTTATTTTCCAGAAACATAAAAAAGCCGTAAAGAAAGTAGAGTAAATTAAGAATTATTTACTGCCAAAGAACTTTATCACTGTGTTAAATATTTCACATTTATATTTGATATTACATTTTATAAGAATCTATTAAAAATTTTTACTGTTGCAGTGCTTCAGGATAGACAATATTAGTTGTTTCCCATCTGTTGTCAAGATGAAAAGGTTCTTATTATTACCAACCCTGGAGCAGCAAATATAAAGCTGGCCATGTGAAAAGCATGGGCTTTGCAGGTTGAGACCAACAACCTTGCCCCTGTGCCTTGTTTATGCTCATGGCAAAGCTGAGTCGAAATGGGAATTGAAGGTGCTTGAATTGAAATGGCAGGTCAGATGGGATAATTGGAATGCATGAAATGAAGACATCCTGACCTGCAGCATGACCAGTTATGTTTGTAGCCTCACTGATATGTGTCAACAGCTTCTTGACAGCCAAATGTGTTCCATTGCAGAGTTTTGTCGGGTCCAGATTCCTAAAAAGAATGACGGATGCACCAATTTTGAGTTCTAGACTGTGTGATACTTCTGGTGTTAAAAAAAAGAATTGAGGAATTCTGTTGGGTAATTGACAGCCTAACTAGTGTCTAAAACAGTGTCAATTGCAGTGGCCAGGTAACTGAGAGAGAAGCACATATACTCTTAACAACAATATTGGAATGCATTGTTACCAAAATGCACTGGCTTTTCTATATATTAGAAGTTTATATATATAACAAACCATTTTTTTTTATGTGGTTTTTTGCTTGATTGCCCCATTAAAAAGATGCCCACCCACACACGTGTGTGTGTGTCTGTCTGTCTGTGATTTATACCTATAATTAGTAATATAAGGAATCGCTTCTTTTCTATGTGGTTTTTCGTTAGCTTGCCTCATTAAAAAGATGCAAATGTGCATGCGTGCACACATGTGTATAAGTAATAATACCCAGATGCACACCCTCAGACCCCACTTAGTACGGGTGCAAAAGTTCAGTTTTCTGGGTTCTTTCCTCTTGGAGTTATGGCAGACACGCTCGTGTGCAAGTGCACACATGTACGTGTCTGTCTGTGATTTCTATTTGTAATACAAGTAACTACTTCTTTTCAATGTGTTTTTTCGCAAGCTTGTCTCATTAAAAAGATGTGCACACACAAATGCACATTTCATCTTATGTGGTTTTTCACATAAAAAGATGTGCACATGCATATATGTATATAAGTAATAGTACCCAGGTTCACACCCTTAGGATCCACTTAGTATGGGTGCAAAATTTCAAGTTTCTACGTTCTTTCCTATTGGCAGTCACACAGACACAGACATGCATGTGCACGTCTGTCTGTGATTTCTATTTGTAATATAAGGGACCACTTCTTTTCTATGTGGTATTTTGCTAGCTTGCCTCATTAAAAAGATGTGCATGTGTATGCACGCACACACATAAATAAGCAATAATACCCAGATGCAAACCCTCAGGGTACACTTAGTAGGTGTGCAAAATTTCAGATTTCTAGGTCCTTTCCTCTTGGAACTATAGCAGTCCCATACACACAGACATGCCCTTTTATTATTATAGATGTGTATCATCATTCTCATTATTGCACTAATGGATTTAAACCAAACAGTGTAAATTAGTCATATAATCTAGTGCTTAAGATAAAATAAACTGTAATAAAAAGTATTTTTAGTAAAGTACTTATGATTTCCTAATCTTGAGTATAACTGACAACATTTTAAAGATTTCACTTCATCCATATAGATAGCATTTCCCCCTACAGTTTAGTATTACATTACAAACAAATTAAACATCCTATGTGAAAACCTACATTATCACATTCACCCAATAATTGGAAAGATATCTAAATGTTTTAAGTTTGCACATTCTGAAACAATTTAGTAACTTTTCAAATTTCTGAAATATATATATATCTAATCTAGAGATTCTAATTTCAGCTATTAACTAAAAGAGTTTGAAAGCAGACTATCACACATAATTTATACTGAAATAACTTTGGAGCTTCACCACTTCATCATACTCCATGTCATCACATCGAATCAATGCCCTATCTGATGACCATACATCTTAACAATAGCTTTGTAGTTTTGTTTTTTTGTTTGTGGATTCTCACCTCTTACAAGACATCACACTTTGCTTAAAATGGTTGGAGTACAACTTCTTGCTTATTTTGGATTGTCCTGGCACTCCAAGTTGATCTATATTCCATTAAGTAAAAGGAATATCCCTAATATGGAAATTTGAAATCCCCTACTTGAACACATCTTTTTGATTTGAATGTATGAATATTTTGCATTGGAGAGAGCTATTACATACTATTCCCCAAATTGATCAATTTTTATATGCATCATGCTACATACGAAACACCTATCAATATCAAAGTGTAGTTCTGGTAAATTCATTCCACAGTGACTGCATATTCAAAACCATTTTAGTGTAACATACTCAATGCTGTAAAATCTATAAAATAACACTTAGGAATGCTACATGAAATTTCTTTGTTGCTTTGCCAACTTTTACTGACTAATTCACTACATACTGCTTTCATGTTTATTAAATATTAAATTGGAATAATTTTCTTTTCTAAAACTGAATTAATTATATTTGAAACTTTCTTCTGACCCTTTAAGAATGTTCTCAATCTTAATAAGAGCTGTTTCAACACTCTTTAAGCATTGCAAAACTTAAATCCTTATCTTCTTCAGAAATTTTGCTCCAGTGATATTTCATCTAAATATGAGATATTCAATTTTTGTGTTAAATTTAGAAGTAAAGAAAAAGCACATATGTATGCTACCACAATTTCAATTTCTTTTTTCGTTATCATTATGACATCTATTACCTATCCTTAATATTATAACAGAAGAAAATAATGATAATAATAGAAAATGGTGTAAATAATGCATTCCTTCTTGTGCCTTTTGATAGATTTGTTGCTACGGTTATCAAAATATCAATATTTTTTATTTTGATAACTTTAGCAACAAATCCATCAAAATAAGCCTTACTTCTTTCATTTGAAAAAATTAAATTATTTCATCCAAAACTGTAGGTTTCAAATTCCTGGCAAACGGACATTATAAAACTTACATAAAGCATATCTAGATAAGAATATGTTATGTAAAAGCAAATCTACCTACTTGTTTTGAAGGTTTATATGAACTGGAATTTGAAGCTGAAGGAGATGGAACAGCTGCTGCAAGAGAAGAAGCTTCTCTAATTGCTGCAGGACCTAAAAAAATTAATAATTCTCAGTAAAATACTTTGTCACATGAACATGCACATTTTGTGAAGATCCACAACATAAAATTACATACAGAAAAATGGTTAGAGAAAATGGTAACTTATTGAATTAAGATCCATCAATTACAGATAATAAAGGTTATATAAAACCCATTTCAGTACAATCAGATTACAAACTTACATATTACCAAGGTATTATATATAAGATTATATTAAAAATTCTAGAAAAAGCAATTGAACTTTACTCATAACATCTAACTTCTGAAGATAAAGTTTCAATTACAACAAAGGCTTAAAAAACTCTTTAACACAAAAGCCAACTTTTATATATGATATTTTTGTTTGTTGGATTTCTTGCAAAGCTAAAAGAGAGATATCTATGCCAGCCATCCCTAATTTTGAAATAACAGACTAGAACAAAGGCAGCTAACCAGCACCACCACCAGTTGGATTTCACTGTCACTTTTAAAATACACCTAGAGATATAGCCCCAAAGTGCATTTTCTGTTTTTACAATAACAAGATGTGAACCACAAACTGCAGCTCCCAATTCAGCACACTAACCATTAACTTTTATGGAGAATGCTTGTTTCAAATTATAATAGCATATTAATTAACTAGAAAGTGTTCTGTAGGAGCATCTTTTTCATGTTATATTTAAACATTGTTGATATCAAATGTTTTAGTCTTGTTGAACCACCATTTCAAAAAGGTAAGCAACTTCCTTGTGACATCTCTGCAATCCCATGCAGAGGATTGACAGAAGACAGAACTACATTCAGTTGTTTACTTTATCAAATTAATAAAATTACAAATCTCAACCTCTTAATAATTTATGGCATGTTGAGTATCATGCATAAATTTGTAATTATTTTGTTGTTTTCCATACACATAAGTTGCCCTATTATTTTCAAAGGTAAAAAAAAACAATTCTGAATTCTTGTATAGTATTATAAACTGTCAATTATGCATATATGTCTAAAATATAAGCAAATTATCTATGAAATGGGGCCAAATGTTAATATGTGATTAAAGGGTGGTATCACTTGCTGTTAAAATTTCAACAATTTAAACATAAGACATTAACAGTGTTTACATTGGCAGTCACCATTTGTGCATTTTGTAAAAAAATCTTTTTGTGAAAACTTTGGCAAATTTTTTAAATACAATCTGAACACTTCCCACTTAGAATTGCTAATGTATAGATGACTATGTATTTGCTATTTTGCTTGTTTCTAAAATATCCAGTAATCCTGCATTGCTCTTATATAAATCATATAATTTGGTAACCAAAAATGAAAACATGTTTAACTATGATAATGGTAAAAATGTTTTTTTACTTAAATCATATCATATTTGCAATTACAAATAATTAAGTAGCCAGTTAGCCAATTTATTTAAACAGCAGGGGGGACAGACCAGCTCTCCAGGGCTCGTCACGGCTCCCAGCCCTTGTTCAGCTTTGGACCTGGGTCAATCTACACCAAACGGGCCACAGTGTATATGAAAAATTGTGTACACAAACGGGCTGTGGCGTACATGAAAAAGTATGTACGGCGAACAACATAGATGAAAAATATGCGGCAGCAGGAGGACATGCAGCTATATGCTACAGTGTAGCAAGCTTTTTCATGAAAGAAGCCCAGGCCCCATCCCGGGCCCGCTGGATAAGGGAGTTTTTAGCTCTTCATTGATGGCAACTGTGGCATGTGCTTTTTGGGCTCCAGCTTGTATCTCGCCTTTCATCTGGTGGCATTTTGTGGATTCGTCCACGCTGAGGCGAAATTCTTGGTCTGAGATTTCACCATCCATCAAGGCAGCGGACACGTGACCTGCAATCGTATTCAACTTACCGGTGGCCAGGACACTGATCTCATCATGCTTTTTGGTCTTTACCTGGAGGCGGCGACGGATGAATTTGCATGCCACTCCGAAAACTCCACAGGGCTGCAATTTCAAGGCCCAGGACGACTGGGGCTGTGATAATGGTGGACAGGAGGCCCACGCCCCCAATGCCCAGGCCCATACTGGCTGTGAGCAAGGCTGTATCAACACCATTGAGGGTGCTGATGTCACAGAGGTACTTTTTGTACAAATCTGCTCTTTTATCCCTCTCGTTCTCAAGTTGCTTTTTCAGTTGTGAGATTTCCTGGAGCCGATAAGACTGGCCATCCCCTTGCAGAGTGGTTCCATGCAGCTTCGCTGCCGTTGTGGGCGAAGCCACAGGTAGTAGTTCCCACGGATGCAGAGCGGGAAAGAGCAGCGCAGTGGGAACTGCAGGAGTGGTTGTGGCTGTCACGTCAAGTTACTTTATTATTGCTTTTGCGAAGCTATACTACCTACAGGTCTAGTTCAATTAGGAGAGAAACGACCACACAGACGACAGAGGTGTTGGTGGCAGCTAACCTGAAGTTGATTCTATCCCCTTGGGCCAACTCCAGTGGGGTGGCAATTGTGTTAGTGCCAGAGAACTGACCATTGGGCTTGCCAGGAGCTCCAGTATTTGTGCTTGAGGCCAACCCCATGCAGAGAGCTCTGCCAGATGCCATCATGGTGTATCCACACTGGCAATGGGTAGCGTTTGAAGCACCATTACCGAAGGACCACTCATAATTATCATTGTCAATTATGCCGTTCTCTTCTGCCCACACGGTGATGAGTGGCTTGCAATTGTCCACGTAGTTTTTGGTGGCTGCGTCTTGGGGATTGGCCGGGTCGACAACATTGTTAATGTAGTGCATATCCATGATCAGGTGGCCGGTCATGGCTTGGGTCCCATAGTGGAGAACTGCACTGGCCTGGAAATTTAAATCTTCCTGAATTACAAACAAGGTGCTGCAGGTGTACAAGGTGTCAGCGGGTTGGAAGGGAAGGTTTTGCACCCAGTTGCCCTGTACAGGCTTCAGGCCCGTAAATGCTCATGTTTTGCAACTTAGCAAATTTCCAGCACCAGAGAGATTGGCAGATCATGGTTGTCTACAATTTTTCCAGTATTATCTTTGATCACTACCTTCAAATCGTCCACTGTCCCGTCCCAGAGGCATTTGAATTCAGGGTGTTTGACTCGGATGGTGCCAATGTCACCAAAGGAGTAGCACCCAAGCCCAACAACAGCCAGAAGCATTGATGGGGCCCCGTCCACAATACTTTCAGTGGTGATTAATAGCTCTAAGTACAGATGAAGCATTTTTATGGAAGCAAAATTGACAGGGCAGTTGCTACCATATATGCCCGCATCAAGCCACTGGCCACCCAAGCCGTCATCTAAACTCAACAAGGTCAGAAGCCCGTCTGTGAATAGCTCATGGTTAGAGTTATTAGGCTGTTGACTTTGTTCACTTCTAGAAGAATATTACTTCCAGCCTCGACAAGATCTCTTAACTGTGTACAGCTGTAAAGCCCTGAAGGGATGTCAGTGGTTTTTTTATGAGGCCACCAATGCTACTCCATGAAAACGACTCCCCAGCCTCCACACTGTACCACCCAACAGTGTAGGTGATGCTGCGGAGGCTAACTCGCAGACCACACATGCGGTTGTCAATGTATTGCTGGAGGCCCACTTACATTGAATCTGACAAGTTGGTACAGGCGTGGAACAGAACCCAATGCAGCTCTGGCAAAATCAAGTAAATTTTGCTGTCTGGTGTGGGACGTCAGGCTGTGGCATGTCAGCACAAGACCATCTGAACGTGACTGACCCTCTGATGTGGTTCTTGTACCTTTTTGATGTGTACTATCAGGTCTGCAGGATCCTTAACGAGATTCAGGCTCCGCTGCCCCAAGATCAAGCTTGGGACGCTTTCAACAACCCATACGATCAAAGGGCATAGGAGTGTACTTGTAATGAGTTTGGGGTGTCCCCACACACCAACTGGTGCATTAAAGGCCCAATCCACAGCTTGGGGAGAGTTTACTTCTATGCGACCCATGGTGGAGGAGACCTCACAACTAGCTCTACGTTCTGATGGATGCACAACTCAATATTGAGGATGGCAGGTTCATCAGTGCATTCTACTAGCACAACAATCCTCCATAAGGACCCCAATTCGGCCATCGTCTGTGGGCACATTGGCTGTTTTCATCCTCGATCTGCTGAAGGGCCCCTACCACGGCATCTTCTGGCACATTGTGGTCCTATGCCCTACACTGTGGCACAACCAAACCTCTTAATAGAACCCCTGGATATGTGTCGACCTCGACGTCTACAATGTAAATCCTGGCGAGTGGCTCCATGATTATCTGCGGGCCTTCTACCAGCTCTTTCATGGTGAGCCCACACTGTCCATCGTTTATGACTGCTCAACCACGAAGGTGCTGACCAAGAAAAAGGACATGCTATCCAAGCTGGCCTTCTCAGACTGGCACGCAGAGCAGAGCGTCTGGGTCCTCACTCAGAAATTTAACTCCATCCTGAAGGACTTGTGTGAGCAAACGCACTGGGTCACCCTCTTTCACTGTAAGGATTGGAACTCCTTCGAAGATTGACTCCAAGAAAATGATGTGATCCCAACACGGGAAGAAGGTGCCATGATCCGTCCAGCTGCTCACAGAGACAAAACATTCTAAGCTTTTGATAAAGTCTAATCAGCCGACTGCCTATAAGGTGCTGTGATGTGGGAAGCACTTTGCATTATCACTGTGCTCATCATGGTCATTGTCAATGTTGCCCTTGCTGTGGCCACGAAGGACATGCTAATTAAACAGGGGATTATACCAGCTGATATCATGAAATAACCATGGCTTCAGTCGCGATGCTTATCGGTGGTGCCCTCGTAAATGCCCTAGCCTTTAGCAGCAGCAACTACCTCTTCTCAATGCTACGGAGCTCGGATGTTGATGAAGAACGTAAGTGCCATGACAAAGCAATCAAACAGCTCCATGCCGTGCAGGCAGAATGTTCCCGAAAAAGAACTGAGCACCTAGACTGGATCAACGAAGAACTGCGCCGCCAAGGCCACGCCATGCCAACCTTCTGGGACGTTGACACCGCAATCCATGAGTACTCTCTGGTCATGAACAAAACACTTGATCCAGAGCCTCAGCTTTCTGACTTCCATATGCCCTCAGATGACCAAAAAGAGTGTGAGATTGCCTTTGTCATTCTCGGAATGGCTGCGAAGCGCCTTGTCATAAAAAAACTTGCCAAGTAATCCGAAAAGACTGTTTCATCCGCAGAAGCAGTTTGGGACAAATGCTGATACAATATGAGTAGTGAGGTTTGAGTTTTTGCCTTTTTGGCTTTTCTTCTTCGCCTGTGTATAATCATGTGTTTACCCAAAGAGCTATACTGTGCGATAATCGAGGTGTGCTATTGCGGCCATCATGGCAAAATCCCCGGGCCCACTTGCACACGACGATCGATGTGGCCTGCAGGTTGCTAGAGCTATGGTGCCAGGATAACTTTGGGACAGCTGCAGCCACCCACTTTGCAACGATGGTGCTGTCAGGCCCAACCAACCTATGTGCAACCACTGGGCAGCTGCCAGAAGACTACACGAGTGCATGTTGGAGACTCATACGCCTGCTGGAATACATTGCATTGCAGCTTCGCTGCAAGTTGCCAAATGGAAACAAAACTGCAAAAACTTTACTACAGCCCTAAGGGCTACTGGAAGGGGCTTGCAGCCATCAAGAACCTCACTGCAGCAGCCAAGATTTCTGAGGACCTTGCTCGTGGTGGCATAAAAAGCAAGCCATCTGACAGATCTACCTGCCAGCCCCAACATATTCCTTGGCCAAAATTTAACGTGTCTGCACCCAATGAGGTTCACCAAGCCGATCTCCTGTTTCTTCTAGATGACCGTCTACCCCACAGATGCAAGACTTACAAGTATGCCCTCATGCTGGTGGACGTAGTCTCTCTTACAAAGCAGCAGAGCCACTGACCATGAAAGAGGTTAGAGGTTGTAAACGCCTCGATATGATATACAAACTAGGTCTACTGCGGTGGCCCAAGCTGCTTCAAGTCAATCCCAGATGTGAATTTATGGTGTCTCTGTAAGGTGCAGCTGAGATCAGGCTGTCGTGGAGTGCTTCAACCAGACCCTGGCAGAGTGGCTCTTTGGGCACCAATACACACAGGAAATGCGACTTCCATCTGGAGAACGATCAACTGAGTGGGTGTGGTCATATTGGCACTGAACAATGAGGTGATTCGCCTAACCAGAAGAAAGCCCTCTGACAACATCATGGCTAAGGCTGTGACACAAAAACCATCTTCAGTGGTTCCAGGATGACCCACTGGCACACGGGAGCAGAAGCTTCTCTTTAGTGTTGGCATTCGCTACCTCTACCAGCCTGGCAAGCTGGAGGGCAGGCGCCATTGCGTGACTGATGCTGTGTGGTCCCCGGGGGTTTACCAACTTGAGTGCTCAATCACCAAGCCTGATGAGCCTGTGCTCTACTATTTGTTGGATGGACCAGCCCATGGCTTCATCCGGGAAGAGCTGCTTGTGGTGCCTCCTGACACCCAACATGTCTTACTGCAATCTGGGAAATGGAGTGGATCCCCTTCCTTCTGGGCAAAAATACTACATCATCCCCCTCACCACCTATAGCAAGCAGCACTTTGTCACTGGCGGGCCTCCTGCACTGCCTTCCAGACAGTGATTGGCCCCTCATACTTTTACTGGGCCTGCAGAAGGACTAACTTCTTGCCCCACACCACTTGAAGAAGCTGTAGTAGGTTTGGGCTTTGATGCCCTTACCCCGCATCTCTTTGGCAAGGGGTTTCTCACCTTGAAGAGCTCAATATCTTGCCACTCCCACTGTTGAGATAGCTCAGCTGATGGTGAGTCAGTGGATCGATGTAGATTGGCACGGTGCTGGATGTGAGGTCTTTTTCTTGTCTCTGGTATTCAGACTTGGGGGCATACACGGCATGCTCTTGGGGCATGTACAGCTGCTCGCCCTTGTTGTGCCACTGGGCTGGGGCTATGGGTGGGAGGTACAGTGTTCCCATCAGACACTCGAGGCAAAATTCCTCACCACAGTCACAGAGTCTGGAGGCTACATAGGCCTCGACTTCTTGAAGCTTGTGCAACATGGTCATACATGCTGCTGGTAGCAACTCGGACAGCCTCCTCGGGTTCGAAATGCTGCAGCATGGTGAGGAGGTTGACTTGGGCATATGCCAGCATGCTATCTCGTAGGTGGGTGTACTGAGGCTGGGAGCCATCGTAATACATGAGTATGTGGCCTAGAGGGCACCTTTGAGGTGCACCAACCAGGGTGCCACTTTGGCAGGTGTCTCTCATGAGGAAGTCGAGCTCTCCCTGGTTGGTCACAAGCCTCCAGGTTAGTCTTTTGTCGTCGGCCTTGCTGCCCTGTGTGAACTTCCCGATGATGCTGCAGCCCTGGTCACGGTTCTCAGGAAGCCAAACCTTGGTTTGCTTCTCAAGGGCCTCACAGACTGGTATATTCTTTAAGAAACCCGACTCTATGAGGAAGGCCAGGAGATGAGTTGGGGCCCAGCCCTGCTCTGTAAAATGCTTCCCAAACCAGACCAGGATGATGGGGTGTATG